GGGGGGGGGGGGGGATTACTCGGAGTATATCAGCTAACTATTGAGCTGTGTTGGTTGTGAGTACCGTACTCACAAAGAAGTGTCCTGGCAGTTTCCAAGGACAACGCTGATGAAAACGGGATATGCCAAGCCGCTGAAGCAGGCGAAACAGACTGAACCCCTGCATAAACCTTTGGAAGCGGTGCGTTTCATGACGGCAGACTTCATAGCACCATGTATTATCAAAGGTGTGGTTCAATTTGATCGCCTTGTAGGCACCTGCCCCTGTGTGGCAACTGCTGGTCCAAACTTGCTGGCTGCGACCCCACCTGTTCACATGTTTGTCGTGTGCTTGTTTTTCATGCCAGATTTATTATGCATTGAAGTTGCTGTGCGTACAATATGCTCTCTCTACTGAGGCATGAGGTTGCTGGTTCGCTGCAGTGCGTTGTGTTACCAGTTATCGATGCCCATCCATGTGGTGTCTGTGCTGTAAAAGTAGATGCTGCACCCATACCCAACAGCATGTCTGAGCCCACAAGACTTGCAGTGCATCATCAAACCAACGCCGCGAGCCCAGACTGCTGAATGCCGCCAGCCTCAGCAGCTGCGCCGCCCACTACCTTGCCATGTGCAAGCAGGATCATGGCCAATGGCCCACGCGTGTCACTCGCCATTCCTCTGGAGCTGCTTTGCAGAGCGTGGCGCCAGCGGCCGGTGGCTAGGGCGCGACACTCTCAGGAGGTCCTGCAGAGTCGCGAACGCCTTCTACTGTACCTAAAGCGGCGGGCGGCAGTGACAACGCATCCTTGCGGGGCCACTCCATTCACCGCGCTAGTACCGCGTATGGAGGTATATATGTGCTTGGGAGCATGATTTATGAGGTCACGAGCATTCATTGGCGGCATAGGCCATTATCAGCTTGTGCGAGATCGCTTTGATCCAAAGCTCGTCAAGTAAACGCTATATACACCACAGATCTTGGTCACCGTACATTTGATAATCTGGCACAAAAGATACTGACACAAGCACCGACCTCCCGAGAGATCTTGTAGCGGGAACTTTGCGTAGCCAGCAAGCCAGGTTGAGCAACTGAGTTTGATTGGACGGATTCAAGCTCGTCTCTCAACTGCTGAGGCTGCGGGCTGAGCAAGGCAGCCTACCAGCAACCCCGCTTAAGCTGTGCGCTGGTTGTGCGCACTGCACTTGCGACGCCTCGCGGCAGCTGCGGCGGCCAAAGCGGCGCCGCCATGTCGGCGTCGGATGACAGCAAGTCGAAGCGTTATGACCGCCAGATCCGGATCTGGGGTGCCGAGGGGCAGCAGCGGCTGGAGGCGGCGCGGGTTGCGCTGCTCAACTCTGGCCCCACAGGGTCGGAGACCCTCAAAAACCTGGTCCTGGGCGGCATAGCCTCCTTCACAGTGGTGGACGCGGCGCGCGTGGAGGCGCGGGACCTGGGCAACAACTTCCTGGTGACACCCGATTCTTTAGGGGAGCCGCGAGCCAAGGTGGGCAATGGTGGAGTGTGGCCGGCCGCCGAGGCGGTGGTGGTGTGCCTCCTTTGAATGGGCGAATTTGCTGTTCACCTGTTTTTCATTCTATGTTTTTCATTCTATGCGCGGATGTCTGGCGCGCCGCCCCAAATGTAGGTGTATGCAGCAGCTGCCATGATCTCCCCAACAGCACACCACCGCGGCCTTGGGCTCATGCACTCACTAACCGCACGACCTGCAGCCTCCCCTTGCCCCCCCGCCTTATGTTCCACCCATCCCTAGCCCCCATCCCAACCCTTGAGCGCCCTCCGCCCAAACCTGAGCCTGAACCCACTCTCAACTCCTGGTCAAGAGTACTCCCCTAACACCTCATCCATGATGACATTCACACAGGTGGTGACAGAGCTCCTCAAAGAGATGAACGAGTCAGTGGCCGGGTCATATGTTGAGACCAGCCCCGAGGCCCTGGCGGAGTCTGACCCCTCGTTCTTCGACAAATTCGACCTTGTCATAGCCACACAGGTCCGACGCATCAACTGCGTCTCAATCACTGAGATATTTGTACACACAGCAGAGGGCGGCGCCTGTGCACGATTGGGGAACATTGGCTTGTCTGCGCAGCTGCCAGAGCGGATGCGCCCCGGGGGCGCCTGTGCGTGGTGGGCTGTCCGGACAGCACAATGGACAGCACAGCGACGGACACGCCCCCTTGCTGCGCTATACCCTGTGCAGATGTTTGAGCCCCACTTGCTGGCCCTGGAGGCGCTGTGCCGCAGCAAGGGCGTGAAGCTGCTGGCAGTGCGGTCTTTCGGCCTCATGGGTTACATGAGGGTGAGTCGTGCGGAGGGGGGCAGCTTGTCGTGTGCGACGCGGACACGCCGAATGGATGGTGGGGCTGAAGCCACCGCGCCATGCTTGGCCCCGCGTCACCAATGGCTTCCAATGCGGTGGGTGCACGCAAGCGGCCGGCGTTCCTGCCTCAACGCGCATGTTAAAAACGCGTCACCTGCGCTCTGCGCCCTCTGCAACCCCAGGCCAGCATGGCCGAGCATACAGTGGTGGAGTCAAAGCCAGACACGCAGGTGGGTGGCTTCACTGTTGGAGCGTTGCACCTTGTTTTGCGCATGTGCCACTATCAGCCAGCCCCTGCATTGCACGCAGTGCCGTCGGCCTGCAGCGTCCTCCCGGCGCGAGGCACCTCTCGCTTCGTGTTGCTCGAATTGAGCTCACTATTGCTTCCTCGAGGCGCGCGTTGAATTGACGCAGCAGATTTGCAAGCATTCATCACCGTGCATCTCAACCCACCCACAACATTCATGGGTGCACACCAAACACGCACAAACAGGGGTTCCCCTGTGCCTCCCACTCTTCCTGCCACACCCATACACCCTCGTGCCTGCTGTCCTCTCACCCTCTCGCAGGTGGATGACCTCCGCCTGGTGCGGCCCTGGCCCGCACTGGCGGCGTTTGCGGCGTCCTTTGACCTGGCAGCCCTGGACGACGCACATCACAAGCACGTGCCGTATGGTGCGGCCCTGGGGCAAAGGCATGTCGTCGGCGGGCGTGTCGGCTGCATGCGCGAGCTTGAGGCCTTTCTGTGCCAGGGCCGGCTGGCCTCTGCTGTGCCGCGCCGAGCTTGTCGCTCGACCTGCGTCGCTGCATTACACTACATCAGACTTTGCCAGCAGCAAGTGCAAAGCCCTGTGGATAGGGGATGACGCTGGCTTTCTATGGGGGGGAGCGCCCCCAACCTGAGAGGCCAGAGGAGCACGCGGGTGCGACCAAACACATGGGAGGGAACGTATGAGAGGGTTCAGGCGCCCCCTTGGCAAGAGGGACAAGTAAGCCTCCTGCCAAGCATCGCCGCGGTGCCTGGATTAATCTTCAGAAAGCTGACGTCCCCGCGCCCAATCCTCTGCCTGCGCGGCTGCACCCACAACAGCCGTGCTGCTGCTGCAGGCGCTGGAGCGGTGGCGGGCCGAGCACGGGGGTGCCGCGCCGGGGACGTTCGCGGAGCGCGCGGCCTTCAAGAAGCAGCTGGCGGCGATGCGGCGGCAGGGGCCGGAGGGCGTGCCGATGGACGTGAGTCATGACCACGACGGCGACCGATGCTTGTGCAGCACTATCAAAGCTAGGAGCCGCAGCTGTGTTTGTTGGCCCCAAAATGGCTGCTGGGCGCGTGCCTGCTCACCCTTGTACTCTCCAACTGCTGCCCCTTTCCTTGGCCGGTCGCGTCGTCAGCTCACGCATCGCCCTGCAGCAGCCCTCCACCCTCAACACCCCGCTCCCTTCCCACACCTGCCCCTTAACCTCACATCCAAGTTGACCTCATCATGCCCGACTCAAGCTGACCTTGTTGTACCCCAAAAGAGTTGACAACATACCTCAATCGTCATTGAGACCCACCACAAACACCACCACCACCCTCAGGAGGAGAACGTGGATGAGGCGCTCAAGGCGGCATTCCACGCCTGGACGCAGCCAAGCATACGTGAGGGGCCGACACGGGGCCGCAACGGGGCGATTGGAGGCCAATGCACGTGCGCCCAGCTTGCCTGGCAGGGGGTTGTGTCCCTCTGCCTGGCCCCCGATTGGTTGAAGCTGCTTGTCAAAGCTGCTTCTGCCTTGAGAGCGGCGTGCACAGAAGAACCCACGCTCATGCAAAACGTTCCTGCGCCACCTGTCGTCGATACTCTGTGAGTGATTCGCCGGCGACAACCCTTATTTCGTGCCCCGGTCAACTTGTAATGCACGCATGAAGCCTCGGAGGTGCGTCGCATCCTGGAGGACGAGCGCACCGAGGTCGGGCCATCCTCTGACGACTTTTGGGTCATGGCGGCAGCACTGAAGGAGTTTGTGGTGAGCGGGGTTTGGTGCTTGTGTAGGGTTCGGTGCATGTGTGTGGGCGTGTGTGCGCGCGAACATGTATGTGCGTGCGTGCGTGGATGCGTGAGTGCGTGCATCTGCATGCGTGCCTGCTTGTTTGCGTGCATGTTCATGTGGTTTTGTGTGTTCAGGCAACGTTGTGTGTGTTTGTGAGTGTGTGCGTGTGTGTGTGTTGTGTGTGTGTGTGTGTGTGCGCGCGCACGCGCGCGTGCGTGTGTGGACGTTATCATCCTTCAGTGTGGGTTCAGCTGGCGCTGCGCATCACGTGGCAGCACGACGCCGCTCAAAGGACGACGAACCAAGGGGCTGTGTGCCACCGTGGGCTGCTTTTGGGGGTGCCTGAGAGCGCGCCAGGGACTCTTTTCGCCCTGTGGCTGGCAGCTAGCTCCCGTCTCAGAAGCCCGCGGCCGCGGCCGCCGCCGCACCGCCCCTGCAGGCGCAGGAGGGCGAGGGCTGTCTGCCGCTGGAGGGGTCCATCCCTGACATGGCCACCACCACAGAGTGAGAGGAGAGCTGGGTGGGCGGTCATAGGCGGCATTTGGGGGAGTGCATGGTGTCAAGGGTGAGGGTAAAACTTGCATTCATGAGGACCCGGGGCGAGCACTGGGCCTACACATTGCAGCATTTCCAAGTAGGTTGATACAGTACTTTGCATCTCACGACCGTCCACAGTCCCGACTCCCGTGGCTCCCCTGTAGACGCCCAAACCATTGTCCACGGACGCCCCCTGCACATCATCCCTCCAGCCTCCTTACACCCTAACACCAACGCGACGCCCC